AATAAAGGCTATTCATATGCTTAAAGCTAATAATGTTACAGGGCTTGTCTACATGAGGAAGTTAATGCACAGTGAGGTCTGCCATGGTTTTTGGCAAATATGGACACACTTAGGGCACATGCTCTTTCACAGCAGAGCAGTCACTGTACTCAAAGCCAGTCTCAGTGCATACCACCATGCATATTCACACAAGGAATTAGTACTGTGAAGTTAGTGCACCATAAACGCATCCTTTAGGTTACTGGATACTAGAACCCCTGAATGGGCGTGATTACACCACGCACAGCTGTGCTAGGGAGTAAGCCATGGTAATTTTGGCATTTTGCATATGCAGCACAGGTGAGAGTGGGTCATGGTGGTGCTCTTTAGCATGGTCCAGGACAGCATAGATAGGCCCTATAGCTGCATCCACACATGCAGGCACATGCAGCTTGTGGCACCATAAACCTCTTTGTGACACCACAAACCACATGCTTTGCATATTAAACTGTGCACAGCACTACTAATTTGCAGCACGAGTACAAAATTTGCTACCGGGATTTCCTGTTAGCAAAAAAAAAACCCTAGAAAAAAAAGCAGGGCAAAGCACGCCAAAATAGCATGCACAAGGTCAAATACAGAGATGGGGGAGCAGCCAACCCCGAGCTGCCTGGTCCCCCATGTTGAGGTACACTGTGCCACAACCAGCCATCTGCAACTGGCTGGGGCTCAGTGTGCCTCAGCATGGGGGCTCCACAGTGCATGGAGACAGGGAAGCGGGCAACACACAGATGCCTACTCTCCCTCATCTCTGTATTTGTCTCAGCGCATGCTATTTTTGTGTGTTTTGTCCTGCTATTTTTTTCAGGGTTTATTTTTTTTTGCTACCAGAAAATGCCACTACTTTGTACCACAGCACACACCCCTGCATGTACCCTGTTTTGTAGGCCATGCCCAACTCCTCTCAGCTCCTAGCTGGACTCCACGTGTGGCTCTCTGACTGGCTGGGGCACAGGGTGCCTCAGTGGGGGGGGCTGCCTGTCGGCTGGCCCTGCACTAAGGCACCCTGTGCCCCAGCCAGCCCCATCCCCTGCAGCACATGGAGCCTGGCCAGGAGCTGGGCATGGCCCACAACAAAGAGTACTTGCAGGGACATGCATTGCAGATCAAGGCGGCACAAATTTGTGACACTGCAAGCACACACCCCTGCTCATCTGGATGCAGCCTATGAGTAAGTAGGTCAATAGGGGCATGCTAGTCCTATTCACTCTTTTGAATAGCCACACTGCTGGAAGCAAATTATATATAAAAATACCCAACAACTGATCACCAAATTATTTAGGCCTTGAAGGAGAAAAGACAATTCCGTTTGAGTTTTCAAATAGCAGGAGAATGGAGCTCAACTGATCCCATTTTTATTTAAATGTGGAAAAATTATAGAACTCTTAGCCTTAAGGAGAGCTTACTGTCTTCTGGAAATACTCGTTTGGCCTTCTCTTTTTATATATATATAAATTAATCTTTAAGAGCCGGGCTTTGATCCCTTTACTCACAATAAATAGTACAGAAACATTACAGATGTTCCCTGTTAGCTACTCTCAGCATTTCTTTTGAAAAGGGGTCTTCACTTTCTGTCTCTGTTTTTTATGTAGCAAGCTCTGTATATCAGTTAATGATGCCAAAGAGTGTAGTTTTATAGTATATGCCTTGTAACACCAAGGGGCCAAAGACTTGTCATCTCTCACCACTGGTCAAATGAGAGCATTAGCACCTGTGCAGACCTCTCTGTGTATTATTCCTTCTCTTTATTTCTCCTAAGTCTCTGAGCATTTACTGACTGCAGATAGTGAAAGAGGGAAGGTTTATTGCCCAGTCAAATTTTCTTTTCCTAGCCCCCTATTTTCAAAAGCTTTTAAGTACATGCTAAGGTCCAGGGGATAGCATTGAGTGCTAATATATAGGGATGATTTCCTACATTAGGGCTCTTTTTCAGAGTTCAGCAAGACCTTGTTCCCACTGACATCACTGGTTTTATCTGCTATGCACCAGGAAAGCATCAGAATCTGTCCTGTTAGGGGCTGAATTGAGTAGCGGCTGTACCTTACAGGCATTGTTTTTGCTCTTATGGTATCTGTATGTATTTGGGGAGACAGATGCTGTTCCTTCCACATCTTTAAGACTCCTACAGCTCCGATTGTTCTGCATCTGCTTTTCACTGACTCACTGATGCTTCTAATCAGACATGCAGGTGTTTCCTTTTATTAGGAGATAACATTTCCACACTATTCTCTCTGGACCACAATTTCCATACACCCTATTTCTCTAACTCTCAGTCCTTGCAAATGCTTGTTTCCCAGCACAGCACCATATAGCAACACAACAACATTGTGACTGTTATGGCACTTATTCATACCCAAGGGCTGGAATCCCTTCTGTCTCAGGGCAGTTCTGTGCCAGTAAAGCATCAGTGATTTCAGTGGAGTCACTTCTGAGTGGTGCCACTGTAGAATGAAGGAAACTCCTGAGATGTACCTGGATGTCAGGCTTCTGTTGGTTTGAACCAAGAGGTTGGGGGAGGGCTTATTTAGCAAAATACTTTTGCTTTCCATCCACTGTGAACTAAAAAATCAGCACAAAGCTGCAGTGGAAAGCAGTAGGTGGCTAATTAAAGCAATTGAATTATTTTCTCTCAGCAAAGAATTGATTAGGCACTCGAGAGCGCATTGAGCACACATGGCATTGTGTTTGTCTCAGGCTCTTAAAGAAGGACCAATATAAAAAGCTGTAATTTGCTGTTTAAACAGTTATTTCATAAATAGATTTCTGAACTGTTCATAGCAAGACTAGAGAGATTTAACCAGATAACTAAGTGCAGCACACTCACAGGTTAACCTCTGCTGCTAATTTCCTTTTCTATTTATTATTTTCCAATGGATAAGTAAACTGCCCTTTCCTCACATTCGTTTCACAAGCTGATCTCTGCATTTTCAGTTTCACCTCTTGTTGATCTCTCTGCATTTATAGGCAAAATCACACATGTGCATAGACCTCAGTTTTGCAAAAACCTGGATTCTCAACTGGCTCGAAGCAATAGGGTTCCACTGAAGCCACTGGAGGGACACCAGTTTACATCTACTGAGAATGTGACCGATTGTCTCTACTAGAGAAATTAGCCCGTAAACATTGTCTAAATCCTGACTGGTCTCTCTGGGGTAGTTAGCACCATGCCTGCCTTCTCAGCATACTAAGGACTTCATCTCCAAGGGAGAGCCAGTGTTAGACTGCTGGGGGCCTCAGGCAGAGGCTACAGTGTGGGCCCCAATCTTTCTCCACATACATATAGGATGGCTCACCTCCTAGAGCTCCACAAAGCCTGACATCCTGGGCAATTGCTCTGGCTGCTTACCCTTAAAAGCAGCTTTGCTTTTGGTTGTCACAGCTTTGTGGAGTTTGAATTTCACTGTAGGAAAAGGAGTATAAAATCAATGCCTCCTGTATGTTTCAGTTTTGCGATTTTCATCCTAGCACACTTCCAGAAGCAATAACTTTTAGTACCTAGATGAGCCAACATGCCAGTTTAGATCAAATCTATGATGATATTAATTTTCAGTCATAAATAGTATATCTTTACTTCCGTACTGTCCTGATGTGCCTCGGAGGTAGCTAAATTCTACTGATGTCAGGGAACAGCTTTTCTACATAAAAGTGGTCCCTTGTGATATCATAAGCATAGAGCTAACCTGTTATGGGAATGCTATTGAGAAGTGTAATAGAATCTTTTTAAATGTACAAAAGCAACTTTAATGTTAATACATCACTGAAGAAAGAAAATAGCATTGTGAAAAGTCTTAAGGCTCTGGCTGGAAGAGGAGCTGCCTGCTAATGAAAGGTCCTGTTTTGTTGGCTAGGTACGTAAAGAGTATGGAAAATGCCTGCGCACACATTGCTGTAGCGGGAAAAGCACAGAGAGTTCCATAGGCTCAGGAAAAACCTCTGGGTCACGGACGCCTGGACGATATTCCACAGGCTCACAGGTAAAAAGTGTTCGTTAGCTGGAATGCAATGCCTCTCGCCTTCCTGCTATATACTGTATTACACAGTCAATGTCCTTGGGATCAGAAGGTCAAGAATTCATTCTTGAAATGGCATCCTTTTATATGGGAGCATTGCACTGTGCCACAATGATCCAGCCATCAAAGAGATGTTGTGTGGTTTAAAATGGATTGGGAAGTAGTTGATTATAGAAAAGATTTGAAGAATTGACCATCCAGACTTTATTTGGTGTGTGAGTATATGTGTGTACATATGTGTGTGTGTATAGACTGTATGAGATGTTTTGCTGTGTATACACATACACACACACGTGTATGCAGGTATATATTTCCCCTTTTGGACATTATGGGTTAACTTGTCCTCCCTGAAACAGTATGTACGCCATCAGAAGTCAAAGGAGCTTCTTCAGAGCTATACCAGTACAATGAAGAACTAAGTTTGTCTCCCATCTTTCAAATCTGACATCTCATAATCAAATACAGTTTGGTTACTGAAATTGTAATTGTCATTAGTTTCCCCTAACACTCTGAAAATGAATTGAGAGGAAAGCAAACACGCCAAAATTGTCTATTTTTCCCAGATGAGTAATATATGTACTACGTGATAAGATTACTGTAGTATTCCTACCCTTTTTCTGAGAGAAGACAACAAAACTTCTCATACAGTGTGGAAGATGAAACAGATCATTTACTGGTGTTAACTGTTTTAATCAATTCTGTGGGTTACTGATTTTCTTTGTTTCAAATTCCCTTCAACAAATCCACCAGGTTTCAAAACTACTATTTATTTTCTAAACTGGTTATGCCTTGGTCATCTAAAAATTCAATTTCTATTTAGTTGGTGCATTTAGTATTTTACTTGCTACCTTGTGTACAGATACAGATTTATGAAGAACAGTTCATATAAAATGAGGCAGCTTAACTTCTTAATCAACAGAAACCAAACACAAATGTATTCTGTATTACTAATGGATCTAATTATACTTGACAGTTCACCTATTAAATTATGAAAGGAACACACAGCAAATAGCAGTTTATAATCTCCCTGGAAAACATTATTTGTGATTTATATTTTAGATGCAAATTGTAATTTATTTTTTTAAGTTTTCCAAGATGCCATCCAAGAGCTCTTGTTTGGTGTTTGCAAGGAACTGGGCCAATTCAGGGCAAATGGCAGTAGAATTGTAGAGTCTTTTGCCTCATTCAGTTCCACACCTGTCAGCAATGGCCAAAAATCATTAAATCTGACAGTTGTTTGGTAGCCCTTCAAATGTGTCAATGCCATATGATTTATGACTAGGGCCCTACTTAAATCCTGGTTTTGCAATTTTTGTGGGAATCACAAAAAATGGTGATCTCCACAAAAAATGGGATTAGCTGTGCTTTCCCAGGAAATCAACCAACAAAAAAAATGCTGTCTCCCTAGTGGGAGCCAGTGGTCCTTGCTGGTGTTGCAGCCCAGCCTCATAGTCCATCTGGGAGGGGAAGGTGCTGGCTGGCAGGGTGGCATGAAGGGAAGAAGCTAAGATGGCACCTGCCCCCTCATGCCGCTCCACTAATTAGCACTGAGAGGCAGGGCAGCCAGCAAACAAGATGGCAGCCACCACCTTGTCCCTTCTCCTCCTGGGGCTGCCAGTCAATGCCAAGGGGTGGGGCTACTGCAAAATGACTGTGAAATTGGCTCTTTAGGCCATGACCAAGCTGTGAAAATTGATTTCTCTTTTCGTGATTTGGGTAGGTCCCTATTTATAACTAGGAAGGTGCCCATATCACAGAAGTGATCATTACAGTTAACTCCAATAGGCACTCCTTTCCACTGCTGTAACACTGAAGCTGAAGGATGATTGTGCCTTGGAGAGGAAAGAGGCCATCCCTCTAGGTAAAAATTGAGGTACTTTGGCCAGTTTTGCTCCCATTGCAGTGCTTACTGGTTCTGTATAGCAGCAGAGGATTCCCACCTCTGGGCCTGGCCATCGGCATCTTTCCTGAACATTAAAATATACCCATACAAACTGACAGCAAAAAATGGATGTTGGATCCCACTGTGTTATGGAGAGCATCTAATGCCATTTGTTGATTACCTAAAGCCAGTAAACTTGGAGAATTTTTAGAGAAATGATATGGGTCTGCTTGAAAGCACTCAAGCTTTTTTTTTTCCTTTTAGCAAAATACACATTGAAAGGTGGGGCAGGAGTAGGGGAAACAAAAATCTCGGGATTCCCCCGCCCCATCTTAAAGACACTCCAAAGCATTAGAATTAATATCCAGACTTGGTCCCCCAGTAATAATTAAATATCATTTAAAAAATGGAACACTAAAATTTCCTTTTATGGAAAGTCTGTAAAGGTTAATACATGATTAATAGATGTTTTAGTGAAGGGCCCATCAGTTATTATGAGGTGCAACAGGTTGGACTCATGACAATTGGTAACTCCTCCTGTTTGTATGGATTGAATGACCTGTGACATACTGTTCATAGCTGACATACTGTTCATAACTACAACCCACTTCTAATTTATTAACTTAGTATAAATCACAAATAAATGAAACAGTAACATAAAATATAACCAGTATGGGTTCTCACAGTATTTTCAGTCAGATGTTAAGGAATGTAACAGTGCTAGACACCTTAACTCCCTTAGGCTTCTTAGTATATCCCAGCCTTCACCATGTCATCACAGGTGAGAGCAAGACCAATACCTCTCTTCTGCTCTCCCCTCCCACATGTCACTGAGGTTGGACAAATGTTTCTCAGTACTTGGTAGATCTGTTGACACACAGTGTAAAGGCAGCACACTTGCACAGTCTGAGACTGGGCACACCCTCTTATATCTCCATGACCGCAAAGCCCTGGGCTCTCCATCACTCCTCCCTCCTAATATTAAACTCTTTCTGTTCCAGTGGAAAAAGAGAAAAACTTTTTTATTGTGTGCAGCTTTGTTAAAACGTCTCCATTCCTAAGGTCAAGAGATGCAGCGCAGGAATGTTCCTCTCCTGATCTAGGGGAGAATAACCTGTAATATGGGGCCAGACTTCTGGAAGTGTTCAGCACCCAACAACTCCTCTTTACGACCTAAATAATCAGCAAGAGTTCAAAAACACAAATCAACCCCTCTCCCTGCTCCATGCCCCCCCCCCCTTTAGGCACCTGAAAGAAATGGAGAGATTTTCAGAGAACAATGAGAGCTGTAGGTCATGGCAATCTTCTGAAAATCTGAACTTAGTGTTAGCTGTTTAGTTTTTTGGAAACCTGGCCATAGATTTTAAGTGAAGGATTGGGAGGAGGGACAGTGTGGCATGAAGTAGTTTATATAAATATTCCACGACCCATCTGACAATTAAAACAAAATCATACAATCCAGGACAGTAGAATAAGATCACTTTCCTGTGTTCATGTTGTACCCAAGAATGCTCCACTGTCAGTACTTTTTTATGATGAAAATATAAGGCCTTTTATTTTGCAGTTATTTCTGATGTTTGCCATGATGAATAATAGAGTTGTGAAAAAACCTCAGTACATCCAGAGATGCCTAGACATATAATAGCTATTCCATTATACTTTACAAAAACATACAAATCAATATACACCAAGGTAATTTCAGGCCCATGCACGCTAGTATTTGCTAGTTTCAGTTATTTAATGCTCCATTGTTGGAACAGTATCCCACATGGATTTGGAGGGGTTTCTTTTTCATGGCCTATATTGTTTTTTTATTAAGATTTAGAAAATATATGGTATCTTGTGATGCACTTCTTATCTGAGATATAAATTCATGTTATGAAGCCTGGGAATGATGTGTCTGATATGCAATAGGTAGGTTACAACCAATCAGAAACTGCTTACTTACAGCTGGATAGAAACAAGTCTCATCCTGAGCTAGAGATGCCAATAGCCATCTTTAGTGAGGCAGAAAGAAACCTATCTGCAGCTGCTAAAAAATTCATTACCTGCTGTGGTTCAATCCCTCTTCAGAGCCGTATTCGTCGGATGTGGAATGACACAGTTCGAAAGCAGTCCGAGTCTTCCTTTATTACTGGAGATATAAACAGTTCAGCTTCACTCAACAGAGGTAATTATAAATTATTTTTCATATGTATAACTTTTGTGATTACTTTAAGGATGCCAAATATATCGTCCTTTTTCCCCCTTCACACTACCTCCCATTGTACCGACATTATTCTATAAGAATGTTACAAGACACAAAAATGTTTTAGGAGTGTGGTATGTTCCATTATTCATTAGTTTGGGAAGATGTTTTATTATTGTTGCTGTTTTCCTTTTTAATTTTTTTTTTACACATGCATTTTCAAGGATTTAATTTCTGAAAGTAACTTCTGAAAGTAAGTTAGGAAACTAAATGAAACCTTCTTTCTGAAGTCAACTGGTAGCACCATAAGACAGTAAGCTGTCAGGCCTCATTGCTAGTAGTGAAAATGGGCAGTTATGGGACTGTAGAGTCTATTAAGCATCATCAAATGCCACATTGTCCCAGGTATAAAGCAATTTCCTAGGCTTTTGTGGAAACAAAAATGTACTGCTGAACACATTTTTAAAGAAAACTTGTACTTGGAACAAAATCATCTTCAGTGATCTTAATATCCAAAATGAATGCCTGACTAATATGAGCAATCTGGAGAACTGGAGAGGAAAGTCTTTCTGAAATGTATGGCAAAAGAGTAATATTAGACAAAGTACAGTACCTGGAGCAGTGTGAAATCTTAACAGCTTTTTAAAAAGGTTTTTCATGAGTGTTCCACAGTAAAATGATTGTATGGAAATAGTGGGATTGCTGAGCCTCAAAAACTGCTGTTTCACTTCTGGTTAAGTTACTTTGATAGTTCACTGTAAGTAATTATGGGCAAAGTCCTCAGTGTCACACCTTGGCTTCAGTGCTGTAAATCCAGCAGCTAAATGCTGGTGTGGAAAGAAGCCAGTATTTGGCCCACATCTGATTCTCTTCTCATTTACACTGGTGTAAATCAGAAATAATTCCACTTAGGTCAATAGGAGTGCTTCATTGTAGGAAAAAATGATGTGAGAGGAGACTCATTCATCCTCTTTTATTTTTATTCAGGCAAAACTCCCGTTGATTTCAGTTATAATTTTGCCTGCATATAAAAAAAAATGTGGGACCGTCTTTATTTGGGCTCTGCAATTACTAACAATGACTACTCTACTCTAGGACACCAGGGACATTGAGCTCAGTTCCCTGAATGCTTATACGCATTGTCCACACCCATTTGAAGGCAAGAGCAGGTGGATGTATACTGATATCTCATTATTCATGCTTCCTTTTTAATTTTATTCTTTGTTGAAGGTTCACTGAAGTAGAAGGAAGTGGCCACTTTGTTGGCCATTGTGTAACAAAGGCAACCATGTGAAATGAACTTCCATCACAGTAGGTTTGGAGTGTTTTTGTAGTCCTGATGGTCCAGGAAACAAACAAGAAGTATTGTGATGTCTTTTATTGGACTAACTACTAGTCCAAAACAATCACCAAGAAAGACAAACAAAAACAAAAAACAAAAACTTTACCTTCTATCGTAGATGCCTCCATTTAACTTGTTTTGTCCCAGCTGATTGCTGTTCATGATTCTCACCTTTCCCCTGTCACGCAGAGAGATGAAATGAACAACTTGGTGCTGCTTTGCAGGTTTTACTTTGCAGCATAAGGCCACTCTGAAGTCAGACCTGGTTTCCCACATCTTCCTCGCAATCTGAGCTGCAAACAGCAGTCCATTCTCTGTCCAAAGCATGAAATGTAAATTGTATCCAATAATGCAAGCTCTCACTTGCTTTGAAATATACAGCTGGGGGTATAAACAGGAAAGCCTTTGAAGCAAAATCTCTTGGGTTCATCAGTAAAGGAAAGGTGTCCTTCCTCAATCTGGTTAAGTAATTTGTTCAATGTTGAAGGTGTCTCCCTAAAATGGAAATCATGGCAAAGCTCCGGGGTGGTTGGCTTCTATTTCTTCATACCCAGTCTTGAAGGGGAACATAAATAGATTTTCACACAAGTAAGATGAATAAGGCCCAAGTTAGGCAATGCTCACTGCCATCAGTTAGTACTTACCTGTGAAAGTCATGCCATGCAAAACAATAGAACCACATGCCTGAGGATATGCTCATCAACATGGGGAATATATAGCTGCAGAAGGGAGAAGAGGGGCTGCAGCATTAGTTTTAAAGGAAGCAGACACCGTATTACACATTTTTATTGTTAGTGGATAAAGACAGCTGTACATACAGAAACTACAAAAGGTCCTGGCACCAAAGTGAGCACGTGATCACCCATTATAGAAGCTACTGAGCTAGGAAACAAAGCCTGAAGTTAACAGACATCGAGCTACATAAACCCTCTGGTTATTTCATACATAGCTTTTATCCTGTATATTTCAATTGGAAGAACATAGTAACAGCCTTAGGGCTTTTGTAACCTTATGCATAAATTACTTCTCCAATCCCTCACAAAAGAAGAGAGTGAGAGTCCTATTGGACTGATCTTATAATACAATTTTACAGTTCTTTTATTCCTCTTAATATTTTAATATATATATCAAGTATTAAAGAAGCAGCATCGTTAATGTTTTATTTGCAAGTATAAAATAAAAGCTCAGAGGAGTAATGTACAAGCCTTGAATGTACATTTTGCGTCTTTCCCTGCCAGTGGTTCACACAATAGAACCACATCCCTTTTCATAAGTTTCTACAGTCCTCATATTTGTCTGGAAGTTCATTATTTGTCTGCCCGTTTATAAGAGAAATTAATTGATTGAAATGTCATTTCAGTTGATCTGGGACTAACTTGCACTCTGACACACTTTGAACAGGTGTTAGCAACTTTTTATTAGAGCGGCTTTGCGTAACTCATTTCAATTTGTAATCAAGCACACTCAGTCAATTGGTGCTCTCCACATTGCTCACCATTCTGAAACAATTCATCCTTCCTCCCACTTTCTCTCCCCAAAAAGCAACAGTCTTGTCTAAGCTTTTCAGATTTCCTGGAAAAAACCTTCTTTTCTTTGAGTGATGTCAGCCAAAACAGCCTCTTTCCTGATCTTCCTTGCTTCTCTTGCTAAACGATCACCTCTGTCCTGTGTCTCTGGTACCTAAGTTCTCTCTGATCTCAGTTCTGTTGTCACTCATCCCACCCGCATTCTTCACCATCTCCCTGCAGCTTGCAGGAGTCCAATGGGCCTGGCTAATCTAAAGGACAGCATAGAAAAAGTCATTTATCTCTATGCTTATTTGCTTATGATGATTAACAGTAAGGCTTCCATCTGACTTGTCCACTCCATACTGTTGTTAGTTCCCTCCTCTTCTCCCTCTTCTCTTTCTCCAGATACCTTGTCTTTCAAACTCTAACATGTCCTTTGAAAATAGAAAATTCATTCTTTATTTTCTGTCTTTTCAGACACTAATTCTCTTAATACCCCTTTCAGCTTTGTGTAATTCCAATTCATCTTCTACTCACAGAGGTAAGAAAAGTCCTGTCAACTGGAAAGCTACCCCTTCACCTCTTCCTGAATTCTGTTCTCATTTATCCTGTGAAAAACCCAAGACAGGGCCTCAAACTCCCTCTCTGGCATGGAAATGTTCTGGAGTTTGTAACCAAAAGTCTTCTGACTCCTGTCTCGAAGACATTATCAGTAGTAGGCTCCTTTCTGCCCACTTGTTGGAGGCAACTCTAAATTATAGATTTGTCCAAAATATATCAGGATAATTTCTTCTTTTTTCTCACACTTCCTTTATTCTGTGAGGGTTTCTATAACTTAGGCAGAGGTGAGTGGAGAATCAGGTCAATTGTATTCTCCTCTCTTGAAAAGCAGGACCCTGGAACTTTCACCATGAGAAATCTCCTGGGATTCCATCTTTGTTTCAAAATCTAAGTTGACATCTTCCTCCTGATAGTCAAGGACCACATTATTTTTCCTTCTTTTCCTACCACAAATTGACCTCTGCCCTTTCTGTCACTCATGCCTCCTATGCCATCCCACAATTCTCTTTCCAGCGTCCTACTGACTTGCCCATTTTTAGGTGAGAAAGTCAAAACTCATACAGCTTACCTGTGATTCCATCCCTCTGTTTTGAAAGGTGGTGCTTCATATACATTGTATCACTTTTTATGTCTAACATGGAATTGGTGCTGTTGTGGTATTGCTGTCTTTGCTTACAGCTGGTTTCAGTCTCCTAACTCTAGGGCTGTGCATCCCTTGCAGACTTTAGTCAAGTTATCTCTGTTTGAGTTGACTCCTCCTGAATTAGCCTAACTCAAGTAAGAGTGGGCGTGCTATGAAATAACACTGGCTCTGTCTCGGGAGACTGAGTCTGCAGCCCAAGGTAGTCATATTAGCATCTAATAAATTATTCTAACTTGAGCTAGAGTTTATACCAATAATAGAACAGCCAAAAGCATCACCACAATCTACTTAATGTTTTCTTATGTGGGTAGAACTCAAGATGCTTGCAACTCTTGAGTTTTAACTTGAGCAAGGTCTGCAAAGATGACAAGTTCTGAGAGATTTGAGTTGAACTGAATGAATTTCCTTAGCAACATCATGACCTGAGAGACAAGTTGCTCTGCATCACTATGAAGTTCATGGGGCTTTGAGGTTCTAAAACTCTTCCAAAGTGCTAAGCTGATAAGCATCTTTTTCTGAGAGAACTGTAATAAAGGCCTTTAAATAAAAGGTAGTAGTGGCTGCATCTACATGAGATGCTGACTGAACAGTTGTTACTGCGCAGTGTTATGTAATACAGTGAGTTACTGCACAGTAGCATGGATGAACACTTTTTTTGTGATGCTGCTGTGCAGTAGCCTAATACTGCTACTCTATGCAGTAGCCTAATACTGCTACTCTGCAGTAGCATTGCATCATGGTTTTTGCCACGCGACGCTACTGCACAGTAGTATTGGACTACTGTGCAGTCAGTGTCTCATGTAGACCTGGCCAGTGTGCACTCTGGTGGCAGGTTGTTTTAAGTTGTTTCTGAAACCTACTAACTAGTTAATGTTCTTTTTGTCATGTCCTCCCCTTTGACTCAGCAGTCTCCTGAATCGCCCACCCC